TGTAAATACACATTTATATCTAAATAATTGATGTAATTGATTTAATGGCACAATAATTTATTTGTCAAACTTCTTTTTGACCCTATAATTTATTTTAATACGCCAGTTATATATTTATACATTTATTTCCAATAATGATAGGTTTGGTCCTCCATATCAGTCGTGTACAAGTTCCCAAAACACTCTTTCCTCCTGTTCTTTTCTGCTCACTATTCTGTTTTTAGACTTTCTTTTTTTCATAACCACCTGGCACTTCTTTGTCTCCTGTCACACCATTGTGTCTTTTTCACAATGACCTTTTCGTCTTAGAAGTGGGTGGCAAATTTATTGTGTCACCCTCGGATGAGAGTTTATGAAAACACGACAATTCTTGTCATGTCGAGATCAATCAGAAGCAGGAAAAGTCACCACATTTTATGAAATACACATCTGCAGTGTGAGAAGGAGGAGTAACAACAGGTCAGTGCATCAAAGCTAATTCAGCTTCCAGAACCCAGACAGGAAGCGTGATAACCCCAACTTTATTTATTTATTTATTTTTATTTCTGGGCTAAATTTCTGTCACTCAGTCTCGTCAGGAATACTGTCCCTCAGGAGGTAATTAAACAGTGCAGAGCCACCCTGTATGGTAATGTGCAGCATATGTTGTTTGAATATAGCTCACTGTCTGGTAGAGTTGGACATGAATTCTTCAAAATATGATAAAAATAAATGACGACTATGGGACTGATGATTTGTTTTATATTAGGGATGCACTGATATGAAAATTTCAGCCGATATAGATATCGATATCCGATATAATTATTGCTGTTATGGCCGATAACTGATATTTACTGATATTACAAAAACACAAAAATTATATTATACATATACCCACAAACACACTTGGGTCTTTTTTGATATAGTAAATAAACAACCAGACCTCTGACATGACTCTACTTCAGTTATTCTTGGCCGTGCAGCATCAACATCACTATCATGATCAAACAGATGCCTCTCAATCAATCATCTCCCCTCTCAAAACAGAAACTAAAGC